GTGTGTGCGCATGCGGATTTGGCGATCTTAAAAGTTGGTGCGGGTTTCTGATGAATGCCGAAATTTCTTTGGGCACATAACTTTTTAGAAAATTGCCTCCAAAAGTCAGTTTACGATCGAAAAATCGCGTTCTAACGTAGCGGAATGTATTCGGGACGTCCAGAAGGGGCTCCAGCTCGATTTGCGTGAGCACACGTGGCACGGTTTCGGAGGAGATACGGAAAACGACACTTCGGCTCTTTCTACTATTATATAGTAGATAATATCAATCAGGCCCGTCCCAAGCTTTTCAAAAAGGGGAGTGGCATGACAGGTGCGCAAAGCGCACATCACGAGCGCGAAGTCCCTCACGGCCGGGCCCCTGGAAGCTCAGGGGTTTAAATGCTCTCTGGTGCAATCTGAGCCTTATTTTGGAGCATTTTTGCACAAAATTTATGACCAATATTTCAGAAATAATTTTGGTTTTATCAAGAGGCATGAGTGATGAGTCAATCATGAGTGACTCATTATTGATTCATCACTCATGCAATCTGATTGGCTAATCGGAAGTTTTATATACGCGCGATACAAAAGCTTTATGCATAAACACGCGAAAGTATTGGCCCTACGCCAACATTAATTTTTGCGCAACAAATTGACTTTCCGGCTAAATAACTAATTCCCGGGCTAAACTCTGGTAAAAAAGGGAGGTGCGACCCATCGCACCCCCCCCCCCCTTCGGACGGCCATATTAATAATAATAATGTGAGTGAGTGAGTGAGTGAGTGAGTGAGTGAGTGAGTGAGTGAGTGAGTGAGTGAGTGAGTGAGTGAGTGAGTGAGTGAGTGAGTGAGTGAATGAATGAGGGTGAGTGGATGAGTGAGTTTAATATATAAATAAACTCCCAGTGTCCCTTTAAACATTAAGCTGTATTTAAACACAATTTCAGTTTATAATCAAATGGCTGTATCAGATGTTCTACGATGAAGTATTGGCTTGGTCGCTAATTTACCTCAAGGTCAACTATCTCTCCTGGTGCCGGTGCTTCCGCACTATTACCGGCATCAATCACAGTGATTCCATCCTTCTTAATCTCTTTCTCCGTGTAACCTGGTGTAGTATTTTTTCAGTGACTCAAAAACGAACTGATATTATTTAATTTCAGTGAATAAACATATATCATTCCAAATAATAGCATCGTGTATGCACGAACCAAGACTTAGTGGTTATATACGTGATCATCACCAACACCAATTTATTACGATAAGACATAACTTCTGTGAAGTTTAGCTCTAATGGTAATTAAATTTTATGATACAGTATAATGTTCAAGACATTGTATAGTATCGAATGCTTATCGATACGTTGCAATCACCACTCTATCTTAACACTAATCAATACTATACTCACGCAACTTTCGCTCCATCTCTTCACATCTTCTCACTTCATTCACGAATTTTCTTTGGAATGCATTAACATCGGGATTCAACTGCCGGACAAAGTGTGGGACGATTATATTTATCATGAAAATAATTTTCTCCAAAGTGTGTTTGGCTTCGTCAATAGCTTTCATTTATCAAGGACGACATAATTGTAGATGTAGATAATTGTAGACATGTTGCCTCCCCCGCAATACAATTTTTCATAAACCAACGACGTTCCCACATATATCACACTACAATAATATTTATAACTAGCTATTATCCGTCCTCCAGACGGGGCATGAGTACGGTCTGATTTGAGGATGGCGGTTTAACCATTTATCTCTTACTTTTATTTGAAGATGTATTTACTGTAAACGAAAAATACTGATATTTAGACTCTAGTCATATAGCAATATTTGTTTTAAAAAAAATTGTATCCAAATATATATAAAATCTGAAATTTTATCTTAAAATAACACAAAATTTCACTTATTTAGATATTATTTTTGAAAATATCATTCTGGTTAGAAGCATCAATAATAAGTCAAATTCTTGAGAGAAAAAAAAAGAAGCAAAATGCATCAAGTAATTTTGAAGATCTATTTTCTTGAAAGTTGTGGACGGCGGCGGGCAGGGTTACACTCCGTTGTCAAAATTATGCACAACACGCGCGCGCCACACACACACACGCAACAGGCACGACACACAGCACACACCACAACACACGACACCTCCACACAACTACACATCACACACGCGCGCGCGCACCCCACGCGCCGCACGCACGCATACTACATAAAACATAACATACACATACTACTATACTACATACTACATAATACATACTACATATCTACATACTAATAAATACAACAGGCCCGTAGCTCAGGGGGGGTCTCCGGGGGCTTCGAAAAGAACCCCCCCCGAGCCCTCCGCCAAGTGCGAGCAAAAAAAGTTTTTGTGGGAAAACAATTTGCAAAATTTCATCCCTCGCATTTAGTGTAATAATTGGCAAATCGTCATCGTGGCGGGAGGGGTGACAGTGAACCCCGCCTCCACTCTCTCAGCTCGGTCGGCTGTGGTCCTCGTGGTCCGCCTTCGCGCAGCGAGCAGAGGGGCGTGGTACAGGAGGGGGTCGGGAGTGCGGACGCACCTTGCTCGCGCCAGAAAACGCATCTGCGGGCGTCTATATATTACAAATTTTCTGGGAGAGGGCCCCTGACACCGCCTTCGCGTGCCAAAGTCGCAAATCTGGGTCTATGGTTAGACCACCCTGCGTACAATCCTGTACACCCCCTGCGAAAAATGCCTACATTGAAAAACGAACCGCCCCCCAATATAATAAGCTGGCTAACGGCCTGCATAACCGATAGCAATCATCATACCGCACCGCAGCGCAATTATATAATAAACAGCTGTGCGTGGCAATGCGGGTGGAATATATAACCGCAGCGAATTGCTTTTGGTGCGTGCGGTCTACGTTACCGTTTTCGTTAGCGTGCGGTTTTTGGTGGTTGCTAATGCTAGGTGAAGGCTCACAGCAAAGTTAAATGATTTATTATTATACTTATAATCTAACATTTAGTATAGGCTATATCCTTGTCATTGAAAACCCGATAGAGAGAAACACTAATACTTTACACCAATTCAAAATGTTATGGTATATGATAGTCGGTGGCATGTGTGTGCTGAGTAACTTAGACAACGAAAAGGCGTTTAAAATGTGGAGGCTGGGGGCCAGAGTACCCGCGGGACGGTTGAACTCCGTTGTATTTTGCACACACGGCCGCACAGGGCGCGCAACCGTATTCCACATACAGCTACCGGCGTGCGCACACCACATGACATTTAGCCACAAACACTGGGCGCGCGGCACACCACCACGCGGTAAAACACCACAACACCCGACAACACACCGACACACGATGCAGTGCCGCCAAACGCCCAGCGCGCGCTAACACGCACCACACACAAAGCGACACCCACAACCCCCACCACCCAACCAGGGCCACACCACACTAGCCATTTCGCTACAGCGTGCGGGCCAGTACTTGTTGTTTATGCAGCCGCAGCCGCAATGGTATATTGGTGCGTGCGTGTGTGCGCATGGCAGGATTTGGCGATCTTAAAGTTGGTGCGGTTTCTGATGAATGCCGAAATTTCTTCGGCACTAAACTTTTTAGAAATTGCTCCAAAAGTCAGTTTACAATCGAAAAATGCGCGTTCTAACAACGTAGCGGATGTATTCCGGCCGTAAAGAAGGGCTCCAGCTCGATTTGCGTGAGCACGCGGTGGCAGGTTTCGGAGGAGATACGGAAAACGACACTTCGGCTCTTTCTTACTGTTATATAGTAGATAACATTAATCAGGCCCGTCCCAAGCTTTTCAAAAAAGGAGTGGCATGACAGGTGCGCAAAGCGCACATCACGAGCGCGAAGTCCTCCAGCCGGGTCCTGGAAGCTGAGGTTTAAGATGCTCTCTGGTGCAATCTGTGCCTTATTTTGGAGCATTTTGCACAAAAATTATGACGCAATATTTCAGAATATATTTTGGTTTTGTCAAGAGTCATGAGTGATGAGTCAATCATGAGTGACTCATTATTGATTCATCACTCATAGCAATCTGATGGCTAATGAAGTATTTAATAATACGCGCGATACAAAAGCTTTATGCATAAACACGCGAAAGTATTGGCCTACGCCAACATTAATTTTGCGCAACAAATTGACTTTCCGGCTAAATAACTAATTCCTGGGTAAACTCTGGAAAAGGGAGGTCGACGCCATCGCACCCCCCCCCTTCGGACGGCCATGTTAATAATAATAATAATAATAGTATAGTGTAATGAAACGGGACCAGCGAGAGGTGAGGGACAGTCCCAAATCTTAGAGTAAGTGCATTGAGGATTTGAGCTGTTTATTAACATGTGAACGTAAAGCTAGAGCTAATGGCTGTCACCTTGTTGACGGAATGACATTTTCATTTATAACATTTTTCAACGAGTTCGCCATTTTTGTAACGTTTGGCAATGAATGTGTCTATACGATGGCGTTTATACGCGCGATAGCATTGCAGACAGTATATGAAAAGACAACGGGTTGATTAACTCGGTGAACCGCTCAATTAAGTCTATATAGAGTAAAACCAGCTTGAGCGACTTACATCTCTGAACTGGACTAAGCCGAGTTCGCCCAGTTCCGTCACACACGCGTATGCCGCCTCAGACTGCAAGTACAGCTGCGCGAACGTCATCTCCTCGCTCCGGAATAGCGAACCCATCGCTGCGGTGTCTAGCGACTGGTCGTTAACCGCTTAACTTACGTTCTCCACGTAGCGCTTGCATACAGTGATCAACGAGAGAGACGGCAGTTACGGTCCGTATGGTAGGTAGCACGACGCTGATATGATCGCCTCTAATAACCTCTGGATATTCCTACCGACGACGGGACAAGGTGAACTTTAACCGGCTGGCGCACCTACCTCGCTATTCCGCAAAGGTTCATCGGGGCCTAGTTCCGTCGCCTACGCAAATGTTACATCTTATCTCTTCATCACCGATTGCGAAGAGACGAAGTAAAACGAAGACAAACAAGAGCGTTCATGCCGACACGACGAGGAATGTTTTTATTCATTTCTGCTTTTTGGCCACTAACATCAACGCTGTCATAATTACCTTCGCTGGGAGGTAAACACAAACACGAATGCACAACAGTTTACTGCACACATCGACGATACAGTCGGTGCTCTTGCGCCGAGGGTGAACTAAGACAGCAGTCTCGCGGTTCCTTACTAAACATTGAATAATTCGCAAACGGTTTAGACAGAAACTATGTTGATAGCATCGCGCTAGTGGTAAATGAACTAAATAGGGGGCTGAACGAATATTTTCTGAACTAAAACGTAGTACTCCGAGGAGGCATCGAATTGAGTCTACCGTACGGCATTTAGAAACTTTCTAGTTGTGTCTCCAGTTACTGTTAACTACTAGTTATTCAGGAGCCCGTTCACAGAAACATCCCAAGTTATTAATGACATCATCATAAAGCTGCGTTTACACTATACATTTTTGTCAGCAAATCGTCCCGATTTCAAGTGCATTCCAACTTGCCCCCGACTTGACCAAAGTGCATTCCAAGAAATTCGATTGTATTGGAGTCGGAGTCGGAGTCAAGTCGCCGAGTTGGAGAAATAGAACCAACTCGGCCCGACTCCCGACTCCCGACTCCAATACAATCGAATTTCAGCCGATTGTGTTGGAATGCACTTGAAATCGGTACGATTTGCTGACAAAAATCGATAGTGTAAACGCAGCTTAAGGTGTTCAAAATAGTCACGAGCAAGTTTAAAATGCCACAAGTTTTGAAACGAAATGTTGCGCAAATGTTACATGTAACATTTTACATTCATAATAATCATAACTGCATGCGATGTTTCTGATAATGGGCCCTTGGTTAACACCTTCTGACAACCCACCCATTCAAGTCTGACAAAAGCAAAACCATATCAACCTGCAAGGTCTATAGGTTTAATTCTGCCACTATATGACAGTATACTATATAGCATCTGCTAGCGCAGGTAGTGGGGAACGTTATGAGCAGAATACGTTGTCAAGCTAATACGTTGGAAATAGGTTTAAATTTGTAGATAAGCGGCAAGAAGCCAGCCTCCGTGGATAGAGGGTACATGGAAAAAAAGAGATTCTAAGTATGTTACGAATATACGCTTTTCCTACAAAGCTGGGCATGCAAGCTACACGATAAATAACGCAGCACTGGCAGCGAGACGGGACCTAGCAGATGGCATACCGTATTACAGCATGACTAGATCATTAGTTGGGTTAATTATGCACAATAAATTAGCTTGGCTTCATGATCGTTTCAGTCGATTGCTTGGATTCACACTCTCAATGATGCGATAACGTCGCACCATAACATACTACACACATCAGCCAGTAGAGTCGTATACTAATACCCAATCAGGTGTCCCCAAGTTATGAACAATCGCTACAGTAATGAGTGCTGACAGTGGAACAGCATAACTAGGTGTGGCGGCAGCGATGTGTAAGAGTTGTGCTGTACTATTTATTCACTGTCTGGCGGTTACGTAGGTATTGTTTTATATAATTATTCATTACACATTCACAATATTACCAGCTTCATTAGATACAAACTAATGACAAACGTCCATGAGGCAAACATCTCCCACAAGGGGCTGATGCACATATATAACGTATATATAAAGCTGTCAATCACTATCAGCTTTTCTACTCATCCGGGGGAGACTTTTGCTCTTCTGGTGAGAAAGACATGACCAAACTCTCTCACAAAAGCACACAAGACAACATGCATATCGAAATAATATGCTGAATGGCAATTGATTGATATTCATACCAAAAACTGAACTTAGAAGCGAAATTTCCGAATAAAATAGCTTTATAACTTGGGGACTCTCTGATATACTATTACAGAAATACCATCAGTTAGTTAATATGCTAGTGGAAGCATGGACTAACAGATTTCACTCACAATAACTATTCTCTGTAAAAATAAAACCAGTTGATGGAGTATAATAATTATCTGGTAGCACTAAACGAGAAATCGCTACAGAAATGCTAGGTATTTTCATAAGCACTCTCAAATTTGCAAACAACAATATTTCTTGAGAAGACAATGCAATAAGCTAACCTGCTTTTTTAACTTCATCAAAGAAAAATCATATTACAGTGAGACGCTAGTACGTTGAAGTCTGCTCTGATAATGATTACATCGCAAAAAGGGTTAGGTAAGGTTTTGAGATTCACCTAAGAAAAAAATACTGCAATCTATCGAAGATATGATAACTTCAACAGAGATGTCTTCAAGACTCACTATGCACTTCAAACTGCAACAACAACTACATCACTTCATGGGCAGACGCCTCTGTGAAACGCGATTGCATGCAGTTATCATAGATAGACATCACACGAGATTCAGGCTATAGAAACTGTGAGTGAAACGTGTTAGCAGGGTGCTGTTGTCAGCGCGACGGCTTGCACGCTTAGTGCACTTCGTGGTCAGACGCCTCAGCCTGGTCCAAGATGATCTCAAACGAGAACGGGGTAAATGGGTAGCCGGATCCGACATAGAATTTTGACTGGAACTCCACCCTGCAACCACAGACACATCTTAGAATCCTACAGTGAAGGCTATTGTACATGTTGTACTACAATCTGTACCAATCATTACACATGCCAGCTGACGGCTTTCCTTTAGGCCAGTAACACACGGTAAGCTACAGTATTCACTAAAGTTAGCAGAGACACATTTTTAACAACAGGTGGCGCCACTCACCAGTGCAGACGGAGAGTGTGCAGGAACGCTGACAGGCCCTCCATCACGAGCAATATGCCGATAGTTAGCATCAGCCAGGGAGCGAAGACAGCAAACAGAACGATGCTGCCCACCATGCCGTTTATTGCGAAGCCATTGCGCAGAACCATCGACCACAGTACCTCAGACAGTTCTGGAATATCACGCAGAAAGAAGTGAGTATGAACGAAATGCAAAAAAGATTCATTACTTTCTCACGATAATTTCAGAATAATCGACATGACTGCGAATGCTGTGCTCGTGAACTTACGTCCGTGGGCCAGACTGAGGGCCCAGAGTCGAAGGTAGGATGCAGTGTGGGACACACATCCCAGGCAGAACTCAATAGTGTGGATGCACTGATGCACAAACAACTCTCCGAAGTCAAACTAAAGCATAAAAAAACAAAAAACAATTACCATCATAAATATGTAGTCCATCAGTTAATGATCAATAGACACTGGTGTTTTAGTTCATAAGCTACTAACATAGGACACACATGCAAAGATACCATTTATAGCTTATCATATTACAACCTGGTATCCTACTACAACAGCAGTCACTTCAGTCGTTACAGACCCTACTGGTAAAAGATCCTATGTTCCTGCACAGACGACATTATCATTGGAACTAATATCACCTAATCTCCGACTTCCTCTAGCACGAACTCAAAACTTTCAACTAACTCATCACATTCCAGAACGAATATAATCAATTATGCTGTACCCCATACAAACACAACTAGTTATGTATTGCGAAATTACGCGCGAACGTCAGCACAAGAACAAAATCTGACCTCCTCCTCTTCGTTACTGGCGCCGCCAGCAGAAGGCAGCGGCTGTGTATCGTGGTGTTCGACCCCATCAGCATGGTCCTCACCGTAGGGGTCTGAATGTCCGCCAGCGTCCAACCGTGCAACCTGCACACAGACCGAGAGAAAATTACACATCTAGATGCAACATAGATATCTTTATGCAAGCCTGGCTTAAAAATATTAGTTCAGTACACAGTAAGATATAGAGGAGTACTCTTAATCTACGACTTTTCGTTACGTAAATGCTTGAAATCACTGAAAATTATAGGTCCCACCTAACTGGCATAGATTAATGCCTTCACTGACCTGACCCTCAATACACAGACGCCAACCACTTTCAGTGGGGTCATTTACAATGAAAGAAGCCATAACACCATGATAAACAGACCAAACAAGATATGATAAATGGGTCCGAGATTTTATCAGGATATAGTTACATTACTCGCATGCATTTACAAACCAACGTTTCTATTATTAATTAATAATACACTAATTTTTGATTATTTTTCATTAAATAAATTACTAATGATACATTAATAAATTCATATATTCCTATAAGTTGCTCTTAAAAGGTGTGCTGGTGCTACAATTCAAATTCTAAATTTGTTAGGGGAAGCCACTCCACGATGACACCACAACGAGTACAGGGTAACGTACCCATCTTTCCTCAGGATAAACGTGCCTACAACTATAACTGACAGCAAAATAAGTGTTCCAACGCATCCCCGCCACATGAACTGAGACAACTACAGACAGCAACGCAAGCATGAAATAACCACTAGGTTACATAGCTGCGAGCGAGACACATGAATCAGGAACCCAAACGTAAAACGAAAAATCACGATAGAAAGATAAAATGCAACACAAAGTGACTGTCAACACTAAAGAAGCAACACCTCACACCTGAGGGTGCTTCAGCCTGTGTCTGTAGAGCATCAGTAGGGGCTTGAGTAGAAGCAGGCAGATGGCACTGATAACTGCAACCAACACCAGCACAACCTGAAGTCCTTGCTGCAATGAAAAAGACAGGTTAGCGTCACATCACGATGACTGTTTCCAGTCACCTTAACAGCACTGTTGTATAATTATATGTCGAAAAATTTTTATAACTAGAATGATTGTCCCAGAGAGGGACTAATAATACCCCCCCGGCTTCGAGCTGTTATGGTGCCTCTATGTGTATTGTAGAATTTGTACGAACTTGGCAATTTGGCAACTGAAATCGCCAGTGTAAACGCAAAAGTCGCGCGTCCGACCGATCGATAGCATCGAGTTAGGATATTAGAACATGTTCTAATTCACCGACTCGGAGCAGGCGAGTTGGACGTTTTTTAGCCAAGTGGCCAATCAGAGAACAGCAGTCAGTGGTGTGTCCACCCTAGGGGGAGAGCACGTTTTTGCTTTAGGTGCCACGCTGGCGGCATGTAAAATACGTATCCGCGTCGACCCGCGCGCATGCTACAGGTCAAATGTTGAACCGTTTGCCGCCTCGCGGTCGATAACGTAAGAGCTTTGAACATACATAGAGAGGTTGGTAGAAAGAAGGAAAACGCCAACTTGACTGCATAAAATCGTCCGTGTAAACCCAGCTTTAGAAATCATCCACTAGATGGCGTTGGCATGTCATATATAACCAAATGGGTTTATTTACGGAAAACGGCCATAAATCTTTCCGGAAATGTCGGACAAAAAAATTCATCGCATGTGGACAACTACATTGGGTACTGGTGATGTGTACTAAATATGGTTGAAACCGGTCCAGTACTTTTGGTTAAGTCACGTGGCGGACAGACGGACGGACAAATGCTACCTTAGAAAAACAGTTGTGTGGTCAAACATTGCCATCACAAAAACAATGTCATTGTAGAATTCCCTAGTTTTGAGTTGCAAACCAATTCAAGAATATTAAGATATCCCCCCCCCCCGACTGATCATTACATGGGGCATCACCAAGAAGTCTGCGATTACTATTCCTACCATATAGCTTGTAACACCGCGACTAGAAATTCTCCCTTTGCTACCCAACTTTTTCTCATCAGTCCCTCGCCTCATGCACTCACCTGTCCAGCAAACATGCTCTCGCACGAATCGTTCTCTTCACTGTCATACTTGAAAAGGAACATGTTGATGAGGCCAAGCAGGATGCTGGGAGCGCAGGCTGCATTGTCGCCTCCCCACGATATCCACTTGGCAATGATCAGAACGCACAAGTAGCCGAAAATGGCATTCAGGAACACCAGCTCAGGTATGAACTTGGCAAATATGTTCATCGGCTCCTTGAAAAACCTGTCACCATGGAAACGGAGTGGATTAAACTATGAAAATCCACATCTAGTTAAGGCTAGCTCCTCTCTTCTAATGAAAATTAACTAGTAAACAAAATGGATAAAATACACGAAATACACATTTCATTAAATTTCTAATAATCTGGACTTCATTCAAGTGTTCCAAAGCTAGGCTTTTTATCTGGTGAGATTATTGCAGGAAATATTTTACATGCGTTTGCCAGAAGGGCAACACAGACAACAAAGGCATTGCAAATATCTCCTATGCAAGTAAATTCTTTTGCAACTGGTGTCACAGCTATTATTACATGCAACTGTCAATCTCTTATGAATTTGAATATCAACTTTGTTATTATTAATGTATTATACCCAAGCAAATTCATGGAAAACCCTTGATAATGGTTATACCTATGATTAAATATGCTCAGAAAGACTCCAAACAACATCTGACAGACTCCAATAATAACTGACATCTTCATCTTGAATGAATTTGTGTAAGTTATCGTGTTAACTGAGATCATCCATATCTGAAAGACCACAAAAATAATAACTATTACAACAAATTATTAGGAACATTTATCAAATCATCTAAAACGTTTTTAACAGAAGAGAATAAATTTGCAATAAATTTCTTTTTACTCACCAGTTACGCTATTACAGTGGTTTCAACAAACTGCCCAGAGCCATGGTTTAGATGTTACTTCAATTTTATACATCAATTACATTCATGGCTTCAACACGTTTTAATTTACTTTACCTAGTGTTTATTAGGCACTCATAAAAAAATTATCAACATACAGGATCCAATCCGAATGGGTAAGGGTAGCCTCTGTAATTCGATGGGATTTCCTCATGATCTGGTCCAATGCATGGACCACTGTTAGGGCACATCTGCAGTTGTTTATGGCTATGGATTTCATGTTCACTGAAACAGCAATAGAGTGTCCTATGTATGACTGTCAGACATCACACATGCTCATACAAACAGTTATATATTACACAACTATTGGATGGTTGTGAGGGAAACACCACGTTTTACGGACTCGGGAAATCAACGGAATGCTGACACCAGACGTCGAAGATAACATTAATTTTTTGAGAAAAAAACAACAAACGAACAGAAACGAACAATAATTGTTTTGTTATAAGTAAAATCAGACATAAATATGACTATTACATGGGCTGACTGTGAGAAGTGTGACAAGCCAAGAGAGCAAGAACAAGTCAACATACTAGTCTTAAAGCCTAGGTGATCTCATAAAATGACGTATGTTAAACCTAGTAATGTGTAGCTATGCTATTTGTCAACTATATGAATTGGTAAATTTTCGTTGTTGAATACCCTAAACCTATTTTTATCACGGTTTTGTAAAGGAACTATGTGAAAATCGCGTCTCGTGCGACGTCAATACGCATAGTTGGATTCGCATAGGCTTTAATCCACTCAAGAGATACCAGGTGTAACCACATTAAATACCAACTCAATTGTTACCTTAATATATAAATAACACTAGTGCTTAATGGTATTTTTTCTAGATTGCAGTGATTCTAACATTTTACTGTACACCGTAGGGCTACTGATGGTAAACATTAACTTTTCCATGGGCAATACTTATTCACATTTCATGGCACGTGTTGTGCTCTGCACCAATTACGAATTACAGTGCAGTATATTTTACAAGTATATAACAAATATGGATATATACGTGTCTATGTGCGTATAAAAGATTACTGAATGAGATATACGACATGAAATTTGTGAAATTATAAGTGAAGCAAACACCCATCAAACCAATATAATAAAAATGCATAAAGAAATATTTCGCAGTAACTTACGTATAATTGGAATGCCAAGCTGAACCGAACAGGTTAACAGATTTGGAATAGAAGTCGTTGTATATCAAGCCAGTGTAGAGGGAGAATAGTGCCATTAGCAGGATGATGTAACGACCACCAAAAAATGTGTTCCAGATCTGCAATAGAGGTTTTCCATCTTTACCACTAAATGACACAGAATAGCTAATAATCAATTCAATCTTCAAACTTCAATTTTGAAGAATACTAGCTATTGGGAAGGCCATTACAACATTGTAGCTAATATCGAAGCCATGCATTGTACTCTGCTTGCTCATTATAGAATGTTCTTCGCATTGTTTTAACTGTGTCAATTCGCAGCTACAAAAAAAGTTTTCCAACTTACCTCATTTGTACTCTTTTGAGCCAATAAGGATTTTTCCTTGATGACCATCCAACCACCAAAAGCCAGCATCAACATGGCATGTCCAGTGTCTCCAAACATCACAGCGAACAGGAATGGGAAAGAGATGATCGTGAATGGAGCTGAAAACGTGGTGGATAAAGATTAGGATTGATTTAAAAAAAACTCATGGCTAAAGCCTTAGAGGCCATAATCACAACATCTAGGCAATGCTTACTGTTATACCACGACTGAGATTTCACCACGCTACCAACAGCAAGTGTCACAGTTTCTGGCCTTATTTCTGTGGTGCCTCGAGAACTTCGCCCATATCCACCCCCATAATTTGCCTTGGCTGCCCTATTTGGCATGCTACTTGTGTCCTTCCCACTGATTAACGTAACATTTTATATATAATTCTCCATATCTTACTTATCTTAGATAACAAGGATACAAGTTAATAAAAAAAAGTTTCCTCAGTGCACCCTTCTTTGAAAGGAATGTTTGCTTAGGTGCATCTCCAATTTGTCATCGTACCCTAAAATGTCAGACTAAAAAGACAATACACGCCTCGCCACAACAAATCAAATTCTAGCTGTGTTATACACATGGAAGGGGCGTACCTGGATTGACCTCCCTGTAGCTAGCAACACCGTACGAGTCAACCAGGGTTTGGAATGCTACCGTGAACTTGTTTGTGTGATTGTAGGTTGGCGGGCTTTCATTCGTCGTCATCTGGTTTAAAATGCATGGTGCATTTGATCCGCTCCGCTCCTAAAATTTAATAAAAAGTCAGTTATTTTGCAGATTCAGTCAATATGAAATCAGAGCAAGGACAATAAGAGACCATGGCCGAAAGTCACAAATATTCTGTTGAGGAAGATCATGTAGAATCAGTCTAACACAAGAAACAAAAAGTCAACATTCTGTTTACATGAACAGACTAATATATTAATCCACTCAATGTGAGAGTCTGAGAGAAAAACAGATAGGTGAATGTGGTAAACCAGCCTAAATTTAAGAAATTTACTGAGGAGATTTGCAGCAGTAATTGTGTAGAATGGGAGCAGCACAGCTAGCAGTAGCACAGCCCAGACTAGCTTGAGCCCTACTGACTTACTTGGAGTAACCTAAATAATTATTTCGGGTCTAAGTGCATCTTTTGCCATTTGGTACACGCACGCAAACTTGAATGTACACACGCACGCATACACGTACACACGCACGCACACACCAACAAATGTGTGTAGAAATCTATTCTTACAAAACTAATAGTATACATTTTATATACACTGCATTACGCTGATAAATTGACCAAGTTATTAAAAAACAAAATATTTGATGTAGCCCCACCATTCTGCGACTAAAACACCTCTACAAACAACAATTTCACACATTTATCACACTGCATGGGTTGGTAGAGTTAGGAGACCATCAATTTAGGGTAGCCGAATGCCCAACAAGGTAAAGGCTTACTGTTCCCCGACGCAGGGCCAACTGAATCTTCTCTAGCTCCTCGACGGGACACCAGCACTCGGCGATCAGACATTTCTGAGTCACATCCAGGTTGAATAGATTCAGCGTGTGGTAGATGGCCTTGATCTTCTGAACCTTGATGAACCACACCTTGATGTTCTTGGCGGCAGCGACCAGCACGCGATGACGATGGTCCTGTGTCTGGCCCAACACCTAAATCCCATAGAACCAATGTCATTAACCAAGTTTGCCGATGACGAAATGTCAACATAACCTATGAGCAAACCATGATGGTCCTGCTTCTGCCCCAGCACCAGATAGAGAACACTCTCCGAGAAAAATGCTTTCGCACATGCATATATGCATACTTTCTATCAGAGTTTCTTATACATGGGGGGCAAAGTGGCGCACCGCCGTTGTCAAATTTAACATCACCGTTGTGAAAATCGTTCCTGTATTTACCCGCTGTTGTCAAAATAGTGTCAGCCCAAAAATAAATAGATCACCATGTGCTTCTGGCACATTTAGATTGCCATGTGCGTTTATTGAGTCATGTGACGTGGGGTCTACACTTTTCCGTTATTTCCTTTGAATCCAGCATGCGTGTTTTCCCCCCAAACTGGCCATTGTCTCCTTTGTCTAATTTTCCCTCAGAAGAAAACCTGTCTATTACCAGTGCCTGAAATGGGGGCCCATAGGCTGGCCCAAAAAAATTTCTTTGGGGCCGAGTAAATCTTTTGAGTCACTGGTCCAAATGGATTGTTGGAGGCCCAAATTTTATATACGGCAGCGCATCTGAGCCCGTGCGCGCGATCTGAGCGAGCTCAGGCACCCTGATTCTCACCTGTCTCACTGCTAGCATGATGTAAACATTACTATGCCACACTAGCGTTATACGGTCAGCAGGCATAGCATAAGCGTATTTAATTAGCATGCCTGGCCGATCAGGGTGGGCTCAGTTCAACCATACATGTACATAAATGTGATGTTATACATTGTATCAAGCTATCAGACAACGCGTCTAGACATGTACGTTTGCAGTGTTACCAGTCTAGTGGGAGAGTCGAAGACTACCAGTCTACCCCGCTGTCAGCAAGCTCGGTCGGAATGAAAATGTGTGAGTTTGGTCTGATTGTATCCTACCGTGGACTCCGGTTTAGGATTATGATTAGTTAATAAACAAAGAACAACTCAAACATATCAGTAAAATTGTTTATGTGTTGAAATATTGGCAGTCGCCCAAAACTTTTTTGGGGGGGCCAGTGACTACTTGACTTGTGCAATTTTCGGTCGCCCGAGCTAGACATTGGTTGCCTGTGGCGAGTGGGTGACCATCCATTTCAGGCACTGTATTACCTAGTATTTTTTATCATAAACTATTGGTCCTGGCAAACATTTAATTTCTCTCTATAGTAACAGTGTAACACTTAACACGTTTAAACTATAGCCTTTTAAAATCCGGGTGGAAAAATTATTGGATTTCTCACGAAAAACTCATCTGTTAGCAAATTTATGACACATAATTCTGATTCCATGGATATTTGTAACATACAGCCATACAATTTACCCAAGTAGTTAGTACTTAGTATTATCATGTATTAGTTATATAGGGCATGAAAAACACAACGTGGACCAGAGAATGACAGCTTACAGTCTGTAAGTCCTCAATGCGAGTCATGACTCCAATGGCCATCTCTCTGCGTTCGGCTGGTGTTTCAGGGCATGGGTACAGCGTAGCTCGGAATCTAGAATAGAACAAATATAGATTATCTACAGTAATTCCCGGATACCCCAACAATCTTGCATATGGAAGAGAAGAACAAACACGAGAACACTGACAACCACAACAACGATCACTGGTACACTGATGGATACACACCCTTCACAGATCTTCTTCACTCTGGACTTCAGCTGTTCACCTTGGTAGAAGATGATGAACACACACTTGTTCACCTGGTCACCCTGCAAATATAGTGTACATGTAATAATCCAGCCCTTATTGTGGATGTTCCATTGATAGAATTCCCTTGTTCATGGTTTATTATTTGTATTCTAATTCTCCACACGTGACACGGGTTTCACATATTTAGGGTTTTACCTTTGGTCGACACACCACTGCCAGGCTTGAACACAGTGATGAGATTTTCCTAGTCTGTCATACTATAAGCTCCCCTGATAGGCAAATGATTGTAAATATGCACACAGGCACACGTGCACGCACGCACGCACGCACGCACGCACGCACGCACACACATGCACTGTAGACGTACAAGAGTAAAAAAGAAATATGTATACAATACAAGATTTAATACGTATAAATTCTTACAACATATCCCGAAGACATGCATACGAATATTCCATAATCTCACTGCAACTATGCACCCCCCCTCCCCCAAGAGGAATATTCCCGAAATGCTTACAGTGACTGGGTCTTCCAGGGGAGTTTCAATGTCAGCAAACTTGAGGTAGACGTTACCGCGGCAAGCTCGCCACAGCAGCCTCTCGAACGCCGGAATTCTCTCTCGCAGTATGACGCCAGCAACAAAGCTGCAATGATTGGAGGAACTTGAAAACAGCTCTGTCATGCATCCTCACGCTGTTCGAAGAAGTAGAGAAGCTTCCGTAGAGAAATGCATCGCTAAATTAATCCAATTAGTATGGAAATCAATGACATAGGAGTTTATTTTACACCCATAATTGTAATGAATTTCTAGCATCGAGCTGAGCAAATACCAGTTTAGAATCAGAACTTGTTATAAAAATAGACACAGTAGAGAAAATATTGGGTTGAAAATACTTTACCTGTAATGCCACGCTACTAGAAACCAGGCATATTTTAAAATGATACAACACACATGAGTAATAACAACCGGAATGCAACGTGTCAAACTATTTTCCAATGTATAAAGTCACGGCAATTTAAATCAAATCGATGCTGCAAAACAACAAGAGCGAGGTCTGGAGCACCCACATTATCAGCATCTACGCACGTACTACCACCAAAACCACGTGGCTGATACGTTACCTCAACTGCAGGTCAGCCGGGGTGGCGTGAGCGGTCGATGGGGAGCCTGCAACCAGGTGCAAGGTACTGCTGGCCAAACTCACATCCTCATCCGACTGGGCAACGCCCATCTGAACCATTATGAAATCACACAATACAAAGCTGGACCAGTCCCTCCTGGTTCAGAGCTTCGCACCTAAATGTTCGCTAAGCCCCTTCCTTGGTTATCTCTTCCGAGATGAGGAAAGGCATAGCAGCATCAGATTCATTTCATTTTTTTCCGCTGCTGATCCGGAAGGAAAGACCATGCTTTGTCCAGGTGTGTACCTACCTACCTCTCTTGTGTTCGTACTGTTAGTGACAGGCACACGACTTCACACACTCTAGAACTACCACTGGACACTTAATATCATCTCATAGTTTCCCCATTAAAACAAGGCAAATTACAATGAGTGAGATTAGACACAGCAGATGAGTGCGAGATGAAGTAACAAAAACAAGCAAAAACAGAAGTAGAAGCATAACAGACGTTACGCCAAGGCAATGCCATACACAGACTTCATGAGGCAATCAAGCTGGTCAATGTATCTGTGTTGATAACCAAACCATTCATGATCACAAGAAGAGGTTCAATGCAATGACAGAAGCAGATATAGCAGTTCCCACAGTATTGAATTGTCATAGGCGTGAAAAGAGCAGTGAGCTACCACCAACATTAGGAAGAGATTGCCACAGTGTTAACTGTTATCAGTTTTCAGCAAGAGTTAATACAACACGACCACAAAAATTAGTTTTTTAGTGAAGCCAGAACAGATACAGTGGAGGTCTTCATTCGTAAAAGACAAATTTTAACTAAGACTGCTGAGACTACATTCAACACATGTCTGTCCCATATAAGTTTACAGTGCATTTATTGTCTAGTATATTTCAATGTTTTTATCTGTTCCGATGGACTTTCAATTAGATGAAATTAGATCTGTCATATTATGCTGGAAAATTATAACCAGCCCCTGACCTACTACTACTAGTGTAAATTTCTTTTGGAAATGTCCTCACAAGCCTAGTTATCAAACATGAACAATGTAAGCTTTATCCACATAGTGATATAGCTCTAGCTCTAGTAAACCAACACATGCATCGCATACAAACTTTTCGTTTCATCACGTAACAATCAAGGCCAAGACCAAAACAATCTACTCATTTTTTGGTGACGGAAACGTCGTGCGGCATAGCTGACGCTGGCTACTGCTCGCGTGGACAACAAACAACTGTCGCCCCACAGCAGTAACAAGACAAATGACCACAGAGCACTGAAAGCCGAACTGCATAGCAAGCACCATCACACAGAGAGAGGCAGCAGTCATTCAAGTAGGAATGCAACAGACGCAGGACGCTTACACGTAAGCGGTCAAACCCGAGCAACGTTTCGCTTGCACCACACACGTGACCTCACGGAATAGCGAGCGAATCCAATGTGTTGTGTCACCCACGATAGTTACTGGCTGTAGTAACATTAGTGCCGTGTCCAATATCTCGGACCAAGTCACGACTCACCAAGACCCTGTCTGAACCGATCTACATGAGTGGTGTGCTATCTGTAAGCTAGCCACGTCAACTGTTCCGTAACTGCACAGGGAAGGTCGGGAGAAATCGGTCGTCACGATGGTTAGCGTCCGCGATTCCACCCACCCGCATTTTGTTCGACTCATGAGGTCTGGTACAGCGTGTGTGATAATAAAGCAGAAAAATGTAGTTCTTTTGGCAAGAGATTTGTTAATCTAGATTTTACTAGAAAGTGAATATCAGCATCATGGGTAAGTAAATTTAACAACCCCAGGAAGTTAATATGGAATCTCACATGTTTGGTTGACTTACAAGCAAACAGAGTGAACTGCTAAATTGTTTTTAAGGATACTCTCAACCTTTTGCCCGGGTATTGCTCTAATGAAGATTAAACGTTTATTGACGAATGAATCGAATCAATCATTTGTTTTATTTATAGAGGAGATATATCTCTATGCTAAAGGCAAAAAATTTCATGAAATTTCCAGCACCTAATTATGTTACCACACAAATTTTGAATTTTTATGTAAAAATGGTATTTTGGATATTTCTCAATTACCAGAAAGAGTGAGGATACAAAATTTTCGCCACATGTTAAGCACAATATGTACCAAAATAGCGCATCAGGATTTTTCTTTAAGTTTCATATTTACTGAGAAAAATGAAAAAACTGCCTAAAATTCAAGTCGCACGTTTGAATTTAAAATTTTTGCGAATAAAGAGACATAACTCATAAAATACGGCACTTAATAACAATCCCTGACGCACTTTTTTACAGCAATATGTTACCATTAAAACGAGTGTAAAATTAAATTATTCCGAGTTGTAATCACAGAGAAATATCCATTTATACGTCGACTACTAAGTCAGAAATTGGAACGGAGAATCAGCGTTTTTCTATTTTTCACAATGATCGACCGCCTGTGTGAAAAATGGGTGAACGTATGTGAAATATCTACTGTTAGTACTTACTGCGACATATCCATGACTAACTGACACCACTAAATTGGTAAAATGTTCCATGCACCTTGAGAAATTCTGAGAAATTACGAGGTGACCAACGCAATTTGATGCAAAATGGCGCGAACCCGACCATTGCCTGATGTCACTGTCAACAAATGCACTCCTTATGCAAGGTGTGTTGCGAGGTGTGAGAACTATTTTGGGCTCTTGTGGGCTACTTGTTGGATCAGGGTAGTAGTACAGCTGTAGCAGGGTTGATGTTGATGGATACTGGCTCAGTGAATATAGTGATAATGCTGGTTGTATCATGTGTCTGATGTCATCATGACGTCAGCCGCGGCTCACTACACATGTACGCGAGCAAGCAAAACGCTCTGACAGTTCACATGTACCGTTATATGGAGAAATGAGCACGTACACAGGTGGCACATAGTGTTAGCCATCGAATAAAGTTGAAAATTAAAAATCGGTAAAATTTTTCCTAAAACCTTGAGAGTATCCTTAAGCTAGTAATTCAGTCAAGGTAAACCAGACCGTTGGTAATGCATAAAATTAATGTTGCATGGCAGTTCATGTGGCATGGCATTGACTTGGCAGCAAATGTAAACGGGATTGAATGATCGACTGTCACTACACTGAACCCCACACCATGAGCTTAAATATAAATAACCAGCTGATACAAGCGTACCATCAGTCCCATGTATTACGCCATGAAAACTATCGTGTATGCAAGGTTAGAGAAAGCCAAATTATTGGTATTATTGGAATCACTCGGGGAGTCGCAATCTATTAACCCTGCGCTTTCACTGTGCAGCTAAGGAACAATCGGGTTCTAAACAATCAGCGAGTGACGCGCATACCCCAGTTTCAAGGGCTGACCACCGGCACGTGTAGCCTCCTCCCCTAGCAAGTTCTGTGCTTCCTCGGACTTCGGCTGGTCATGCATCTGGGCAGATTGAAGGAAGGCGGCCTGGTAAACAAAGCATGGTCACCATGACGACGGAGGGACGGACGGAAGGGGGAAAGCCGAGCGGGGTCGACAGAAAGAAACTCAACATAATTCCTATTTACAAGCACTACGAACGACAACTACCTGCAAAATGCTGTATGAGCGTGAAGCAACAATTTTCTGGGGCAACACAGCAAACTAACCTAGCATCCACGAGGGAGTGTGAGGGCTAGTCAGTAGCGCAATATAGCCAACTTGGCCACATTTCCAAGTACTGTTAGCAAATGGAAAAAATGCATTGCTAATTGCACAACCCACTCACTCACGACTCATGTTCAGTTGAAACATCTAAATGAAAATTCTTACGACATGCAGCAAAACATGCATTTCACATTCACAATCTTAATATAAATTAGGTGGCTAGAAGATGACTTATAAAACAATAAAAAATTACAATATAACTGAAGATACTAATCGGATATAGGCATGTGAGAAACGCATCGTACCTATAATAGTTATTGTGCAAGTGATCATGTAGAAATACTATCACTGTAATAGTAATGTAAAATATAGATGGGAAAACCACCACTAATTTGGCAAACAATCGTTTTACCTGCTGTTTATAAACTATTTTTTGTGAACACTGTACTTGTAAGAACATTTCTGCAGAAAAAGACGTGAATTGTATCAGATATTGTAATTAATGTATGTATACTAATGTTTTTAAAATATTTAAATGGGTTTTTAAAAACTATGATTACATAACAATAAGTTGACTAGAGGAGAAAGATATCTCGATCATTGGTAGACAGCACTATTAAAAGCCTAAGAAGCAATGAACTTATAGGCTTATTTAAAGATGGCACACAGCAAATGCACAAGTTGCACTCTCTCTGCATGATGATATAGAGAGATATCAGTTTAGACGCATATACTCCCAGACAGAATAACAACTGTCGCATTTATACTTAAAATATTAATGGGATTGTTAGGAGTTACGATTAAAGATACCAGTTTTCTGCCCACGACAATGAAACGTTGACATTGAATTTGTGGACTTACTATACTAATAACTGCTCCCGTGCATTCTCGCAATGTTGTGTGTGTGTGTGTGTGTGTGCCAACAGCTTTATTTTGAATTGATCAGCAGAATAGTTTTGATATGGATCATTTTTACCTTAAATGTGCCTTTACATTTAAAACAACAGGCATGATACGCTAGGTGACTCACATGCAGTCTCATCTTAGAATTTGAAACCAGTAGCACCAAAAGAGAGGTAATCACATTAAAAATGAAGTGAAACCTAATAAAAATTTGCAATTACCAACAAAATAAATTCGTGATTAAATAGTTTAACACAGTTTGTTTTAAATATTTTCTAATAATATATTATTTAGCTTGGTAACCAATTCCGTTAACCAGGCCATGCCAATATGAAGCTGTTGTCTAAAAATCTAGTAGGGACAAATTGCACACAATTGCTGCAACAGGACCTGCAATTGCATTTGCTGCAAATCTGACACATTACACTGTGAATTACGGTAGAAAATCATTGCTTCCACTCGTAGATACTCGTAGCACATAGTTGCAGTGGAATTCAGTAACACAAATTGCAAGCAAATAACGTGTTGTTAATTTCAAGCGTAGTGCAAATGCATGGGAGAATGCTTGCATTGGTGTATTCTCAAATCGTGCAAATCACGCAAATCTGCTTGCAATGTCCATGCACTAGAGACGACCAGCACACGAACAGCTAAGTACTGCATTCCAGTGAGGCACGTGGTACAACTGGTTGCACACAACAACCTGTATGCTAAATTAATGAGCTACTGCTAATATAAGCTATCACTATTAGTTTTTGAATAGACTGTTTTCAAACACAAACACCTTTTGCTCACAGTGTATTTAAAAGCTAATAGGTTCTAAACTATAGTGAAACCGGCCATGTGTACTGACTGCACATGGGTGGTAAAGTTCTTGTACGTGTTTGAAACCTAAGTCTGCTTTGTTGCCACGCCCACAAACGTCGGCAAAGCTACGTTCTAAACAATTCAAGATACCAACGTGAATCAACTCTAGACGGAATGAAGGCCAACCACGCAGTTAGTAAATGAATAAACACCAAAAGAACTAAAATTAACAAACCTCCACACACATGAACGCACGCACGCACACACCCACACATATGATAGACACACAGCTATGCACAGAATGTCTAACAAATTCAACAACTTAGTCAGGTCATTCTTTAGATGAACAACAAATGCACGGTAACAATGAAAATGTTTCACCAAATACACGTCAATTATAATTATTTGTAATTCAAAGCTTATTAAACTTAGGAAATATGTCAGGTAGGGCACTAATAAAAATATATTGTTACTTATTACGAAAAAATCATTGATTTTAATTCTTATAATTAAATGTGTGGACCATGATTATAATCTGTACATGCACTATGCAAAACACTTACCAAACCTTAGGGAACATAAAGCCATGCACAAACACACTGAGCACTAGACAGATTTCAAAAACATTTAACGGCAGAAAGACCACGTGCCAGGTGTTTTACACTACAGCATACACAAGGCACTGCAGTAACATGTAAGTGCCGACACACACAATGACTAGAGTAGAGACAAAGAAACACTTGCATGCAATGAGTGAACGTGAAGCGGAAGTTGGAGGTTAGTAAGGTTGGTGCATGCTCGATGGGAATCGCATGGGCAATCGCGGAATAGACCATGAATGTTAACCAAGCCGCCAGCAAGTTATTTAGCAAGCGCTTACAAACCTCTGAAATGTAGATGGTTAGAATTAGTTCAGTTGCCATATTCAGAACAGTGATTACTAGAATTGATGTCACCTGCACCCATGTTTTCTATATACGAAACTGTTCTATGTTAAGCAATTAAAATTATTAGGCCAAAACAAAATATAGGTGTGGTTACGATTTCCTGACCCACCCTATTTATTCCCAGCGATCCTAAACATTTTATTGTAAATTTTCTTTAAAGTAAAAAAAAAATGAATTGTACAGTTCCTGCTTCAAAAGGCACAACGCACATCCTTCGGACATGGTTCGTAAATAAAATATTTCAAGAAAATAAAATGTTTTCCCTAACTACCTACCCTATTTTTTTCGGCATGTAACGGTAACCACACATATATTTTGTTTTGGCCTTGGCTTACTTCCCAAAGCATTTGCTTATCGCAACTACTACCTACAAAAGCCTTTGAAATGAATGCCAGCAAGTATTAGTAATAAACATTTAAGCAGCACTGTAAACCACTGTTTGGCACAAAATGTACTTGCCAATCTACTCCACTTTTTTGTGAACATTTATTACGTAAATACGAGCAAATGAGTGGAAAGCTCCCTGTATACATGATGGTCTCGAACTAGAATTACTGGAGCTTTTTAAAGATTTAGATACAAACCAATTACAGTATCCCATGAAACAACATCTATCAATCAGCAAAGTAAGAGGTTGACGTTTAAAAAAACATTTTCGCACTATTGGCGAACAGATAGAAGAAATAGCAAAGCCTTAACACACATGCGTGCACCCGCTGGCACCTTTACACAAAAGCCGAGCTGACTTTTCGCTTTTCAATTGTAGGCCTACCGTCTCTTGACCCCACCACCTGCTCTCAACATATTCCAGCCATGCTTGATGTATGCAACTGCCATAAACGTTTACAGTTAAAATGTTGCATGCAAAGACAGTCCCCTGACTGCCAAAGATACAGACCTGATTCAACTCCTTTCAAATAAAAAAAATTATAAGGAAGGTTTTGAAAGTACTTCAGCACACTCAACATGAGCAGAACAATGATATTTGTTAATTGAAACATGTGCAAGATAAGTTATGGGGAAGGGTAGTTCTCATTGTACTAGCTAGATGTCTCTTTCTTTTAGATGAGCTGCTTTTTAACCAGCCCACAGATAAGTCTAGCTTGCCTCAATTTCAAACAAATTTCCTGCTCTAAAGCCAGAATAAGCCATTTGTTGATATTACAAGTTTACAACACACTTATTTATTCAGTGTGAAAAAGTATGGGCATCTGAATCTAATCAGAATTTACCAGCTAATAATTGCCAAGCATTTGCACTTACACAACATTACAATAAAATTGCTTCCACTTCATTGATTAGAGATTTCATTGATAACCAAGAATGGCCAAGAATGGCCAAGAATGGCCAAGAAGTAGAAAGGCCAAAAATGTACCACCGGTACACCCCTAAATCCTGCACAATTGTTCTACTTGTTTATGTAAAGTGTGGTGCCAAGAAACACCCCTAAATCCTGCACAACTGTTCTACTTGTTTATAATGTAAAGTGTGGTGCCAAGAAACACCAGACAAACAGATTCATTAGCACATGCTGCACGTTTTTGCATCATATAGCAACGTTCACCATTACTCACGTATTGCCAACGCTGATCAATGTAAGAACTTTGTTTGAATGGGTGCGAATGCCATCACAGTAAACTACTCATGTCTCACTCTCCTGTCTGTCTTCAATGTGATATAATACTACATGGATCTGCTTTATACACGTGACATTGTACTACTCACTCTGTCCACATACAGAGGTATATGCAGTAATCATAATTTGCCTATCTATAATTGGTCATGGGAAGGCGACTTTGCATTTTTTATGAACCCGAGTAAATTGGATAGGATTACGCCATGATAACTGTACGCCTGGACAACATAGGGTAATTTAGACAATCACTAATTACGGCTTATTACAGCTTTAAAGATATAAAATACACTAAAATGAGAACTTTAAGTACAGCACTTTTTTTAGTTAATTGATAAATTCAAGGCAATTTGAAGTTGTAAAGTTAATAACGTTCATAACATTAACATTTCAAGGAGGTGCTATGTGATAAATATTCCGCTTTTGAATCAGTATTTGAAATTTGAGAGGGAAACAATACTGAAGCCTGTTGTGAGCAGATACGTTACACTAGCGGCATTTCCCAGTAGCCCAACTACAATGCACGCCTAGACTATGCACGAGCAGTATACCCTACCTCGTCAAAGAAGACCTGCGTCTTACGGAGAATGTGCTTCAATTCCGTCAACTCAAGGAAGTTCCTCTTAAGTGCTTCTGCATTTGTGTTCACCTCTTTCATCTCGTTTTCCAGTTTTTCAAATGTTGCCTATTTTACAGGGAATAGTCCATTAATTTCAAACCTATTATAAGTAATGAATAAATTAAAAGATATCAGCTTATCATCCCAACACTAGGACATTACAGATGTCAGTAGCAATGCATTGAGGTAGGCTTCATATATTACTGAACTGACAAGTCTCACCACATTTATCTTAAAAATTTCATGCAATTACAACCATTAAGATATATCATACGAGTGTACTAAGGAAAAAATGGGGGGGGGGGACAAAATCAAAATCGAGGACACTGTCTTAAATTGCTCATATTTAATTATAACAAAATTTAAAAAACACTTATATTAAATTTATGACAATGGCATTTTGCTTTAGACTCTACCTCAAGGTCAATCATCTCTCTGGGAGCAGGTGCATCTGGATTATCTCCAGTATCCAGCATCGGAATACCGTCTTTCTTAATCTCTTTCTCAATGAAACCTGGGGCCCGTTGTCAGAAACAAAATTAGTCTTAACATTAGTCTTAACATTAACTTCCCCTCGTAACCGTTGACAGAAACATCGCAACGTTACGAGAATGAAAAATCCTCGAAAATATCCTCTTAACATTACGAGAGCCCAGACCCTCTCGTAACTTTAATATTAAGTTAAAAATAACACATTTACACTACGAATTGCAATTATAGTGATATTATATTTGATAATAATGAATAAAATGTGTTTTTTTCTTGAAAAACACGTCAAAATCATTAATTATCTACCTTTCATAAAACAAAACAATACATTTACAAATGGTGTATGGCATTTGTTCTCTTGTTTTAAATGTTTACCACGCTTGCCACGAATCTCACGTCTCGTGTTACAGTGTGAGAATTTGTCTTGTTGTGCAGAATAAATTCATGACCGCGTCGTTTTTTTATCAAATATTATTTATATGTGGTTAGCCATCATAATATGCATATATTACTGTGATGTACAATAAATGTGTATGAATTTGAATTTTGTGATCGATTCTCATCCAATCAGCAGCCTTGTGACATTAAATTATGAAGTTCCTGTTATCGTGAGTTTGCTCGTAGCTACGATGTGTTTCTGTCAACGCTACTCTCGTAGCATTAACATTAGTCGTAAGTGTTATCGTAGCATTAACATTAGCATTAACTTTACGATGTTTCTGAC